AGTATGCACCTGCCACTGGTTTAACTCCTTTCAAGTGCGTTTTAGGCTACCAACCTCCCTTGTTCCCATGGTCTGGTGAACCGTCAGACCTTCCCTCAGTCACTGAATGGCTGCGGTGCAGCGAGGAGACTTGGAATTGAGCACACACCCACCCACTAACAGTATGGGGTACGACCCCATACTCACGGAGGAGTTTCATAGGATGCATTTGGAAAAGCTGGCCTCTCGACCACATGGAAGACCCCCGTGTCGTTTTCCTTCTCACGTCAGGAACCGCTCGCCTTCCTCGCACCGCCAGAGGGAGCTTTCACCTGAATACTGATTTCTTAGATCTGGACTGCATTTCCCATAAGCCCTCATACCTGGGACTGATTGCACACACACCTGCATCTCATCACGCACACACGCATATAAGCACTGCACACACATACACTCATTGCGAAGTCTTGATTTGCTACAGTGGTCATTTCTGAGCATTTACCTTGTGGATTATCTTTCTGTGTTTGATCTTGGACTTAGGGCTGCCGCGATAACTGCAATATCGCAATACCGCACTATTGACGAGCAAACCGCAGAGGAATGCAAGAACCGTAGCAAACCGCGATTTTTGCGCGTTTTCTTTTTCCGTAAGGTTATGCCCTTCTCGTTTTACACTTCATGCATGTGGACTGAATATTAAGCAAGTTTGTAATGATAACAATGTGTACCATGCTGATTTGTACAGAGGCTCCGTAGATTTGCACTTAACAAGCCTAAACAGACAGAGAATGAGACTGAGCGCGTGCGATTACTAGCGTCTGTCCTCCAGGCCGAGTCATATATATTTGCGAAAATAGGTTGTCATGTCCAAGGAAAGCGAAATCTCTGTCTTAGCATCGACGCATAGCTGGTCAGCTGAGCCTTCTAAAGTGGCGCTCAAAGTTAAAATGATTTCAACAGTGATACATCTCTTTGAATGAATGAATCAGTGTTTTTGAACGTGTAGTTGAACGGCAGTCCCTTTCCACCACCTTGTGGCGCAACACTGTAACTGCACTGACTGACAGCCCGGCTAGAACGTTTTCACTCTTTGTTATATTGCAGCCATTTGCTAAAATTATTTAAGTTAATTTTTTTTCCTCATTAATGTACACACAGCACCCCATATTGACAGAAAAACACAGAATTGTTGACATTTTTGCAGATTTATTAAAAAAGAAAAACTGAAATATCACATGGTCCTAAGTATTCAGACCCTGGCTGCAATATAACAAAGAGTGAAAAATTTAAGGGGGTCTGAATACTTTCCGTACCCACTGTATATATATATATATGTGTGTGGGGGTGTGTGTGTGTATATATATATATATGTATGTATGGCCATAATACCGCATACCGCATTATTGAGCCACTCAAAATTACCGCAAGGGAAATTCCCTCACCGTGACAGCCCTACTTGGACTGTTTCCTCAACCTATTGCCTGTTCTTTGGATTGTGATTGGAAGCTGCCTGCCCCAACCTTTTGCTGTCTCTTTACCCTGTATCATTCTGATCATATTGACATAAAGCTGCAGTTGGATCCTCACTCCGCTGACTCTTCATTACAATAATGAAGAAATTCTGTTTTTTTATTAATTAATTAACTGACCTGAGTTTCCTTAATCCTTAGATTAATCCTGAACCAGTAGCGAATCTTCTGATTTGTCACCTGCTTCACCAGAGTTGCTGGACTCTTCTGAAGTAGTGCAGTGACTTTTCCACCCAATAGACCAGTGATCCTCAAATCTGGCTCCACTTTCCTGCAGAGTTTAGCTCTAACCCTAATCAAACACACATGAGTTTGCTAATCAATGTCTTCCGGATCATTAGAAAATCACAGGTATAGTTGATTAATTAGGGTTGGAGCTAAACCCTGCAGGAAAGTGGATCTCGCGAGCACACCTGAACCATCTAGGTCTTCAGGATTACTTAAAAATGGTAGGCTAGAGTGTTAGAGCATGGTTGGAACTTAAAGTGTCATGAAACCCCCTGTTTCAGCACTGGTCTTGCACACCTTAGATCTGAAAAAGACTCCAGAAATGGGCATGTAAAACTTTGAAAAAGTGGGAGTGTAAAGAGGGGAGAAAACCAATAAAACACAGACCTACAACACCCTCATTATACAGATGAATGAATATTAAAATATTTTTGAAACAAAAAGTATAAAGGCAGTTACTTTTTGTTTACTCTTTTTTGGATTTTTGGTCTATATCATTGTTTGCTGTGTTTCACAATAATCCGTCGTGTCATCGCATTCACGATAAGATGTACTGCTGTATCAGTAACCTTATTTGCTTGTATTTAATTTAAGAAGACATGATATGCGCGCATACACAGTGCTGATTCATGTTTGAAGAACGAGAGAATATGAAATATGTTCACATAAACTTGAAACATGCTTGCTCCAGTCCGGATATGAACTATGATCCGCGCAACGAGTGTTCTCATCACGCAGCGAGTGTTCTCATCGCCGGCGTTCCACGTAGAAACTGCTCTCTTATGCACGCTCCACGTGTTGTTACATATTAAATATTGTTACCGTAATGTTTACAGAGGTGAGCGGACAGCGCGGAAGCTCTTTCATGAGATTTGAATTCTCCGCTGTAATACAATCTCTTGCATAATACAGCGCAGTGATTGGATCATAAGAGTTCTTTCTTATGAAATACTCAGAAAAGCTCGGAAAACTGAAGACATAGATGCGTACTCTCCAGCCACGGCAGCCAATCACCACTGCAAATTAACGCATATACGTCACTTTTTGTGACGTTGGTTCAACTTTGCTTTTTGAACATGATGACTGAAATTGCTCCAAAAATGTAAAATAATAACCACTTTTTCTTTAATAATAGACATAATGAGTGCTGTTGTTGTTTTCACTGTGCAACCTGTTCATATATCTTAACATCTCAAAAAATGTGTTTTAGGGATTCATGAAACTTTAAGTCTGCAGGAAGATCTGCTATAGACCCTATGGCTGTGCCGGATGACGCAGCAAAAATGGCTGCCCACTGCTCTGGGTGTGCGTTCACTACCATGTGTGTGCACTTGGATGGGTTAAATGCAGAGCACAAATTTGGAGTAAAGCGCACCATACTTGGCCACACGTCACATTCACTTCACGTCACATTTGAACTTCTTCAGAGTGCAACAATCTTCACCAAACTGGGTCTCTACAACACCTTTTGCCTTCACAAGACTGCCTTCAACACCCCTATTGGCCATTATGAATATCAAGTAATGCCATAACCCTGCTCTGTCAAATAGGTCCAACCTTTCCTAGGTTTTGCCCATTTTTTCAAACAGTTCATTAGTAACTAACACCATTGCAGAACCCCTTACTGATCTAACTACGAAGACTAGGCAGTTTCTATGACTAAGGAGACAGAGAAGGCTGACTGGGCATTAAAACAGCTAAAGCAGCAATAGTTACACACCCATACTGACCTTCCCGGATCATTAGTTGCCCTTTATAGTGGATGTAGATGCCTCAAACTTAGGGTGTGGAGCTGTTTAGTCTCTTCTCAAAGTTGGCACTTGAAGAATGAAGACACTGGCTGGAGAAGTTGCCTCACTAAGCTCCCCACTGCCAGCCAGCCAGTTGAAGTCATAGTTAACTTCCCTAATTTGAAATGCTTTCAGATGTTTTATTGAATAATCCATCAGCCTGTCATTTAGTTTTCACCCTCAATCTAATGGTTAAACAGAGAGGGTTAACCAGTAGAAGACCCTTAGATGCTTGGTCTGTAACAACCCTATTTCTTGGAGCTCATGTCTGATTTGGGTACAGTTCACTCACAACACCTAGTTTTCTTCCTCTGTAGATATTTCCCCCTTTGAATGCCTGTTTGTGTTCCCCCATTTTCTGGAGCTGGAGTCTGAGGTCCTTGTACCATCTGCAACGCAACTGGTCCAGAGATGCCAACTTGCCTGATCGAGTGCAAGCACTACTGTATATCGATACTCTTAACAGGAATAGGCTAATCAGGACACAGTCCTATGCCACTACTCTGTCCAGGTCAGAGGGTTTGGTTCAACAAGTGATCTCCTACTTCCTGTTGAGTCTCAGAAACTGGTATCTCATTTCATTGGTCCATTCAAGATCTTCTGAAAGATTAACCCTGTTTCTTACTGACTCCTGCTGCCCAGATCAATGCGCATTTCTCCCATCTCTCACATCATGTCTCTTATACCTCTATCTCCAATCCCTACCCCATGTGCTAGACATCATCGGCAGTCAACCAACATACACCGTTCATTGGCAGCTGGACTTCCGACTGCTCTATGGAAAAGCCAAGTATCTCTTTCATTGCTGCTACTCAAACTGTGGTTCAAAGAATGTCAGGAGCCATTCCTAGCATAGGGGCTGCTGTAAGACTTCTGCCTGAACTGACCTTGCCGGCCACAAGAAAGCATTTTGATCTTGGGGTTGTCTAATTTAGTTGCCAATCAAATTGTTTTCACTTGTGTTTTTCTCTATTTCTGTTTAGCCTAGCCAATACGCTGGTGTTCAGTCTTGATCCTTCCCTGTTTGTTAGCCAGCTTCTGTGAAAATGTAGTACTCTTTGTTCAATCTTTAAGCCTTTTGTGTATCATTTGATTGAATACCACAGTAAAGGCATTCAAGATATGTTGAGTTCATACTTCATCCGGCTCTTAGTACTCCTCTTCCCAGTAGTTCAGCGGTTGAGCACCACCCTGTCTGGAAGATTAGGGTTTGATTCCCACCTACAGCACTTGTCACAAAAACTCGTTCCATAACACTTTTCACATCACATTAGCTTGCTTGTCAAAAACATCAAAGACAAAAACCTCTCCCCTAAACAACATGCAATAACAAAATGATCTGTGGTTTGTTGCTGTACATGTATTTCAGGTGATCTATTCCTGTCTAAGCAGGCAGAATTGGCCAAAATAAGCTGCAATGAGGACCACACTTTATATTGTCTAGATCTGATAGGACTCATGACAGGCCTCTTACCATAACAGAAGTCACAGCTGGAAGGGCAGTGTTTCTGCATGAGTATCCTCTTGCTGTCACAATAACCCTTCCTTGCCCAAGCAGGACAGATAAATAATCGATCCAAACATCCTGCAGTGGTATGGACAGGAAAAGAGGAAATAAGAAGGTGTCAGGTGTCAATTGTAAAAATGCAACAGCGTTGCACAAGTAATCCAGTTTGTATAGTTATTTTTTATGTTTTTTTTGTGCTTAAGAGTAAAATACCATAGAGTCGATGTAATCCCCAAACCTCATCTTGAGTGATGAGTTTGCGGCCTGTCAATGTGGCATTGAGGTGCATTAAAGCCTTGCGATTCTGGGAATGCATCAAACCCAGTACATGACCAATCTCATGAGCAGCCACGTGAACTAGATCTGTCAGCCACACTCCTGAATACAATGACAATCACAGACACAAACACGTTCAGGTCAAATCTGCTTCCTCTTTTTTAACCCCTAAAAATAGAGCTGCAGAAATCATGATTCTGAATACCTGAACATGCAGTTTACTAGAGGTTCTAATAAAATGTTAAGTGCTGCAGTCTTTTTTAAAAAAAGAAAAAATTTAACAAATTTTAAGGATTTTATTTTATTGTTTGAATGAGTGATTCAATGACTCACTCATAAAAACCACTTGTTTCAGTACTGGTTGAATCAGCATTTTTGAATGAATCTCTTGAATGAATGATTCAATGACAATTACATTTGTAACAGTCACTTGTCGCCACCTACTGGTGTAACAATATAATCAATAAAATATTTATTTGACACGTTGTTACTTTCAAAAGGTAATTTAATAATTTTTGATCACTACAATAGACATCAGTGTTTATATCTATTTTGAATCTTTATTAAACTTCTGTAATCATTAGAATTTTGTAGAAACTGTTTCATGCCTATACAGAAAACTGCTCTTTTTGGGCCATTGGCAGCACCAACGCAGATTTGAATGTTCTAGTGTGCTTGAACTTGTTAAAACTTTAATTAAAAAGAAAATTGTGCTTCTTAAAGGGGTCATATGATGTTGCTAAAAAGAACATTATTTTGTGTATTTGATGTAATGAAATGTGTTTATGCGGTTTAAGGTTAAAAAAACACATTATTTTCCACATACTGTTCATTAATAGGTGCGTTCGACTTCATGCAGCACTGCACAGACCGATCGGCGGCTGACTTGAAGCAGTGCATGCCGGTTAGAAATTTAGTCCGACTTGAACCGGCAAGTGGAATGTATTTCCATTTTGAATGTATTCCCTCAGCGACCAGCACGGATCAGCTCCAGGCATGACGAAGCGGATATCGTCCTCTTTTGGAAGACCAAACAAAGTAGTTTCGCTTTCACAACGAAACACACAGCGCCTTCACAACATGGCGGCGGCAGCAACAATACTACAGCGAGAATAAAAGTTACGCCTTCTTTCTTTGCGTGAACATTTGGGCGGTGTTATGCAAATCTTCCCACATCGTGACGTAGGTATGTGGGCCGTGTTCGAACGAGGCGTTTCAGGTAGGTGTGGCTGACTCTTAACTTTTATAAATAATATCTCTTTGGATTTGAGACTTTAGTCTTTGCAACTTTACAGATATTCTTTATGCACCAAGAGCTTGTAACACTCCAAAGAGAAAGGAACAATTGAAATCGCATCATATGACCCCTTTAATGCTTCTTAAAGGGGTGGTTGATTGTGATTTGACTTTTTTAACGTTAGTGTGTAATGTTGCTATTTGAGCATAAACCATATCTGTTAAGTTATAACGCTGAAAATTCAATGCAAACGGAGATGTCGTTTTTTTTTTATTATGGCAGTTTAATGCCTACAAAATGGCTCGTAGGGACTACAACGAGTTACTTCCTGGGTTTGTGACGTCACAAACCCATTCACCAGACCACATTGACAATTTCACTGAACAAATAACGCATGGTGCGCTGCTTTAGAGAAGAGGAAGAGAAAACTAGAGGTGCATGTAAAAATCTATTCATATATGAATCTCGATTCTGTCTTCTAACGATTCTAATGGATTCACAAGTTTCAAAATCAATGTTCTAAAGCAGCGGTTCTTAATACTGTTCCTGGCCTCGCTCTGCTCTACACACGCTCTGCATCTCTCTCTCTCTCTCTCTCTCATTCAGCTCAGCTCCAACAATGGACTGTTCCAATTATACAGTTATTTTCACATAGCTATGAGAAGCGTTAAACATGGACACTCACGCGGTTGCTGTGCTATATTAAAGCTTTAATCAGGATAAAACTGTATATTAAAAGCTAACATAAGCAGTAGCATTTACAAATAACAGCGTATCTAAAAGTATGAGACAACAACAAACAAAAAACATAGGCCTACCATTAAAAGCTGTGCTTGCACAGGTTCTGCACGATCCTCTTCAATAATATCCTCTGCTTCTCAATCGGGCTCAAATTGACAAGCAATATTGACGATGCCATTGTTTACAACACAACCGGAGCACATTCTGAGCTGAGAGGCGTGACCTTTAGACACGCACTAGAGGCGGTTTAGCCAATCACAACACACTGGGCCAGCTGGCCAATCTGAGCCCATCGCGTATTTCTGAGGGAGGGACTTCATAAAACCAGGCAATCATCAGCGCGTTCAAAGGAGAAAGGACAGAGCGGTGTGGAATAAAAGTAAATTATGTGAAAAAAGAATGTGTTTTTTTTAAACTAAGCATTAACACGTTAGACTGCACCTCATAAACACAATAAAGCCTAGAAAAAAACAGTCAACCACCCCTTTAAAGGCACTTGTTTACAGTCAAAACTAATAATAACTAGGGGTTTTGATATGTTCTATCTGGTCTATTTTTGGTTGTCTGTATATTTATTTTGGTGTAATGAACATTTCTTAAAATTTTGACACCCAGGAAGCTTTCTGGACAATTTCTACAGCATGGTAGTATGGAAAGTAAACAATCAGATTCCAGTTTTCTCAATTTTCACGCACACGTGCCTTTATTCCAGCTGAAGCGCATGTTTCCCAGAATCCAGTACTCATCATCATCAAAGTGGATCTCTCCGGTCTGAGGAAAGAAGGCGTGGGCCAGTTCTCCAGTGATGCCGTCGAAACAGTGGTGCAGGTAGGACTGCAGACAGTCTGTGTGGTTTCCAGAGTAGAAGCCTGACGAAAGTCAACCAACCAATATGATTCTTGAATGGTACATCCTCTCCTATACGCATTATACCAAAGACGATATGTGACCCCAGACCACAAAACCAGTCTTAAGTCGCTGGGATATATTTGTAGCAATAGCCAAAAATACATTGTATAGGTCAAAATTATAGATTTTTCTTTTATGCCAAAAATCATTAGGATATTAAGTAAAGATTCTATGAAGATATTTTGTAAATTTCCTACTGTAAATATATCAAAAATTAATTTTTGATTAGTAATATGCATTGCTAAGAACTTCATTTGGACAACTTTAAAGATGATTTTCAGATTTTCAAATAGTTGTATCTCAGCCAAATATTGTCCTATCATAGCAAACCATACATCAATGGAAAGCTCATTTATTCCGCTTTCAAATTATGTATAAATCTCAATTTCAAAAAATTGACTCTTATGACTGGTTTTGTGATCCAGGGTCACATATAAAAAAAAATTATGCCTCCATGTCTATAATACAACTCAGAATCAGTCCCATTTAACTGACTCAAACACAACTTCCAGCAAGTACAAACCGTTCACCACCAGTCACTGGGGTGGATCTTCTGATTGTGGCAGTGATCAATGAGAATCATGTCAATCTGAGGAACCGACAATCTAGAGGTGCATTTCCCGAAACAATGACGTAACTCGCTGCATAACTAACCACAGTATGATACATTGTTGAGAAACTAACTAGCAATTCTGGACCATTTCCTGAAAATGCAGGAACTTTGTCACATATTTGTCATTTGAACCACCTTGGTCGTTAATGATGTCAAGCAGGTGGTGGAGTGATAACTTCAGTTAATCAAATAAATGGAAGAATCTTGTTTTTGTTCTCTGCTATTTTGCTGGTACACACATGTGCACTCTTCAAAAACAGTGCTTTAATTCTCTTAAGAAACTAAAAGATGTAGAATGAAATTGTATATGTATGGAATGAAAGATATAGATTGAACTACATGCTGGCTTGCTTATTTTGCTCAAGTGCATGATCTCCACATGTCATAGTAACAACAAAGTGTGCTTCTAACCACAGGTTGAGAGATGTAGTTCCAACCATACAAATTTGCGATGGTGTTTGTGAATGTTCGCTAAAACTTTAGATTTGGGAAACACCAAATCCTTGAACTATGTCATTAATGATGGAAGTTGTGACCATAGTTGGCAAATTATGCCGAAAAACCTTTTTCTCAGAAACACAAAACCACCAACTTACCTCCTTCTGTGTTACTGTTTCACTTCAAATTCCTCTGTACTGCAACAAACAAACAAACAAAAATGTATTTGATGTACCGATTTTGATGTCGGCCTCTTGATCAGATGGGACCTCACGAAAACTGAAGGGCGAGACATCGCTCCACATAGAGAAGGCCTTGGCTATGCCTCTCCTTGTGTCACTGGCATTCAAAAGATTCCTTGGAAATGACAGCAGTCTGCAGGAAAACACAAAGCACCCAATAAAATGTGGACAAGTAAACAAAAAAAAGTACATGATAAATGATTCTGCCATCATCTACTCATGATGTTCCAAACTTGTATGACTTCCTGCCGTGAAACACAAGAATTTCTAAAAGAAGTTTTATACCAGATCAAACTTTGACAGACCAGGATATGCAAGACCCCAATGAAATATTAATGGCATAAATATACTGTATGACCAGAGGGAAACTAATTCTGTGCTCATTGTCCTTTAGATACATGCTTTTGAAATCCTAGAGCTTCCAAACATACGTGTAAACATGGAAAAAATGTAAATAGGTTATGAAATATCAACAAAGCAGAAGTCATGCGGGACTTCACAGGTTTCAAACAGAGGGCAGTGATATCAGACGAATGCACAAAAACATAAAAGCATTCTTACTTGTAAGTCAGCTTGAATTTGTCCCACTTCAGTTTCTCTGGAGTGAGCGTGTAGCGTTTGTTTCTGGAAAGGTGAAGCACATGGGAGCGGGCGTCTTTATGAATTCCAATGATTAAAACACCAGACATGAGAGCTTCTTCCTTGGACAAAAAAATCTCAGATTAGATTAGATTGATCTGTGAGCAGGATTTTCCATGAAGGTCTGTGCCACGCTTGCTCCTACAAGAGCGATAAGTCCACTTGTGAGGTGCTTTAAAGTGTGATTTGCTCGAATAAATGGCTTGTTGAGCCAGGAACACATCTTGTATTGATTAGTCAGGAGTGAAAAGAGTGCAGACAGAGAGGAAAGTTCAGTTCAGTTATTAAGTCAGACTTGTTGGGCTGCCCTTCTCATCTTTCAGCCAGACTGCTCCACTGTCTGATGGAAGACAATTATTTCATGCTCTTTACAGAACAGTGCATGCAAAGCACTGCAGTACATTTACATTCAATTACAGTAGCACATTAATTCACTAAGGAACTATTTTGTACAAGTGGTAAATATGACAAATTCTTAGTCTAAAACTCCAAACCGTTCACCCTTATTACACATTCAAAACCTGCTGTTGTGTTTTCACATTTCTTTTCGTACTCATTTCCAAATACAAGATAATTGTCATATATAATAGGAACATTAAACAATACCAAAACACAACAGCACGACCTCAATTAAGTAGTTTTATCTATTTAAAAAGTTCAAATCAGATGCTGTCAGACTGTGAGCGCCGTGGCTCTTGCTGATAGTGATGATAAGGTAGAAGAGTTGAATCACAGCGTTCCTATTGTAAATCAAAGAAGATTCGCGACTCCAGCCAGAAGGACTCTTAAGAGGCTTTTAAGAGATTTACACATCATGTTCTTATAATACTACAGTTGAAACACATACACACAAAACAATATTATCTGATGTGTAAATAAACTTTCAGATTCAGATTTGCTCTAACCACACAACTTATTATCTGTGTGACTTTTCTTGTGAAAGAATTTGACCTCTGCAGTATTACGGAGTTGAAAACTACATTTTTTGGTCAGAGTGTGCAACCACAGCCCACACATTCACAGCAAACACATGCTATCAATTTACATGAGTGGTCATTCTAGAAAATCAACAGCAAATAAACATTAATATAACTTTAAAGAGTCCATGACATTGTTGACGTGATTCACACGAAGCTTTGGTGGGACATATCAAATGATCTTTTTGGTTACACTTTATTTCGATAGTCCACTTTAGACATTCTACTAACTATAAGTAACTTTGTAACTACATGTCAACTACATGTCAACTAATTCTCATTAATTTGCAAATACATGACTACTAACTCTCAGAGTAGACTGTTAGGGTAGGTTTAGGGTTAGTAGAATAAGTTGACAAAGAAAGTGTTAGAAGATATTAAGCAGAAAGTCTACTAATACTCTACTAACTGCTAGTTGACATGTAGTTGCAAAGTTACTTACTGTTAATAAAATGTCTAAAGTGGACTATCGAATTCAAGTGTTACCATCTTTTTTTTAAACCATGGATGAAAGCACTTTCATGAATACATTTCATTCTCAACAATAAATTCCAGCCACTTTCTTTGCAAATGGCTGTTGAAAAAAATAAAGTACAAGTGCTAACTTAACTAACTGCTAGTTGGTGACAGGTAGTAATTACGCTGTAATTTAGTGGAAGGAGTCAAATTAATCCTAGAGAGGATGTATTAGAAAAAAATGATGCATGCAAGATCAAGATTGTTGGTAGGTTTAGCAGCAAATGAGACTGTAAGTGTGTGTCCACTAAAGGACTGTCAACTATATGAAGGTCTCAAAGCTAACAGCCACAAAAAGCCCGTTTTGATTTCATAAGAATGTGCACTGTAATGAATTGGCAGGAAGATGTAAGTCTATGGGGGGGAAAAAGGGGGGAAAAATTAAAACATGTCTTTTACTAGCCATAAAATTTGCCTCATTTTATATTGTAATCCCAGAAGGTATTTGGCCTGAATTTGAACTCAGACGTTGATGCTGAGAGCACTCTCTGGGTTTCATAAAGCTGTCCAAATTTTTTCACTTCGCTGGTAATCTGACCTTAGTGTCTGAAACAGACACATTAAGCAGACATTCACAGACACATACACAAACACAGCAGAGAGCCAAGGAGTCTCTGGGTTAGAAATCGACAGTGTTTGCATAAAGCTTGGCTCCTTTTTGCTTCACACAGAGCGTACAGTCTTCCAAACCTGCATGGACTGCATGGACTAACATGGAAGATTTTCTATAGGTGCTGTAAAGTCCTTTGCTGACTGTTATCTCAATCTTCTGGAAAAGTGAAAGTGAAAGTGACAGTGAAAGTGACGTGACGTGTGGCCAAGTATGGTGACCCATACTCGGAATTAGTGCTCTGCATTTACCCATCCAAAGTGCACACACACACAGCAGTGAACACACACACCGAGAACACACACCCGGAGCAGTCAAGGGTCAAGTGTCGATGGAGTGCCCGAGTCTGAGTGTTTTAAAAGATAAAAAGCGAGCAGACCCCACTTGCAAACGCTGATAAGAGCAGTAAAGTTAAGATAGTTATAACTAGAGGAGACGGAGACTATTTTGATCCGACAGGGCAGAGGGGACATTCCTGAACTGGTTCACTTTCAGACCAGACTCTAAGGCCTGCCTTTATATCACATGCATTTACAAGCAGACGTGGTTTTTTAAGCTGCACTCTTGGCAAGCAAGACTTAAATTCTTTTCCAGTGGAAAATAATTGAAAATGGAAAGACGTATTTTAGGTCCAAGATACATTGACGGAGTGGAAGTCACAAATGACATTGTTTTGGGGCGATCAGCTTGCCGCCTAGTTTAATCATACAATATGTGTTCAGCTACCCTTGACCTCGTGATGTAAAGAGTTTGAGACTTGAGTAAGGTCTCTTTGCGGGTTGGTGCAACTACATGCCAAAGCAGACGCTCGCAGGACTGTCTAAAGATTTATTCAGAGATCCCCAGAACCCCATGAACCAAGAAGAAACACAATGGGACATGAGTGCATTTCAAGAAACATATGAAGCTAATACATGGGTGACTTATCCAGAATACATGAGTATTACTGCTCCGTACTATTGTAATAATAATACAAGCCTTCATAAACTGTAGTCTTCAAGAGCAACAAGTGCAAATTCTTAGAATGCCATTTTAAAAGCATCACTAAATATATAAAAAGTTTTTTTTAGCAGGACATGATTTGGAGCCACATTATTTGCCCAACTCTGAGGTTTGGTGTTGGTTGCCAATGTCAATGTCAACTGGAATTCATGCGGCTTTCTGCAGCTGGCACATGGAGCCTTCCAGGACTGTTTGCTGTGTGCATTCCAGTCACTCGCAGTTGAGAGAAAAGAAGGTCCCAAGCAACCACAGGATCAAAGATAAGCCAGCAGGTGCATTTCCACAGAGCTCTGCTCTACTGTTAAACCTTCAGCTAATTTCCTCATTTAGCGTTTCAGCTTCTCTGTTCGACTGGCAATAACACCTTGAAGTACGGCAAAGATTGGCATTTAAAGTCTAGTATACTGGGAACTTAATGGTTTGTGGAGAATAATGCTATAGAGAAATGGTCTGTGGTGGCAAAGAGAGCAGAGACTTGTTTTGGTCTGCAATGAAATCCACAGAAATGTTTGACTACTGACCAACATTTTTCATATAACCTATAGTGTTGGGGATAACGCATTACAAGTAACGCAAGTTACATAATCAGATTACTTTTTTAAAGTAACAAGTAAAGTAACGCATTGCTTTTAGATTTACAGCAAAATATCAGAGTTACTTTTTCAAATAAGTAATGCCAGTTACTTTGTTTTCCCATTTATTCACTGAGCTCTCCTGTCTCTGTGCTGAGAGAAATTGGGAGTAAGAGGCACTTCCTTCAGCCTAAAGTTTATTCATTTCACTTTTGGTGTGAAAGGGTCTTTAGAGTTGCCAAAAATATAACTTTGGGGTTTTTTGTTTTTAAAACATAAAAAAGCAAGCCCAGCTCAGGAGACAAAAAGTAACGCAAAAGTAACGTAATGCATTACTTGCTATAAAAAGTAACTATGTCACGTAATTAGTTACTTTTTTATGGAGTAATATTGCAATGCATTACTTTTAAAAGATCCTTTCCCCTATACACTGCTAATGATGGCCAGCAAGTCAGCAAATGATTACTATGTTTGGTAGCAATAACCTGGCTCGTTGATTACGTGTATGTACTTGGATATATGCATAACCTTGAGGACAGTTCTCATGTGTGGGATCAGAGGATGGATACGGATAACTTTGCAAAATACATGACATCAAATCTTTGAATCATATTCAAGGACTTTTTGTTTGAAGAAGTAAGTAGCAAGTAAACCAGATGAGGATGAATGCGAAGAAAGTGGATTAAAGGTAATTTAGCATACACTGAATACAGGGATAATGCCGCCAAGCAGCCTTTTCCTGGGTAATGACCTGGAAAGAGTCTCTGATCATTGTGTTTTCTTGGAATTGCAGGTCATTTTCTCCACATGCAGGATATCAGGATATAGGCCTATACAACTAATCATATCAGGGCCGTTTCTAGCCAATTTGAGTTCCACAAATCTGAATGCATTATTTGTAAATTGACTGTTAAGATAAACATTTTGCACAATTTAGTATCTGTAATATCATTGTGTTGCCACTAGATGCCTGTATAGCCCTAAACAATCCCTAGTGATTAAGACATTGCACATAATTTACACATAAATCACACATAAATTAATTTTATTACATTTTGATTTGGATACTATATACTATACTACTACATATTGTTTAGAAATTATCAATGGCTACTTTTTTGTCTTTATCTGTTTTTTGTAAAAAAAAATGTGTTGTTGTTTCTTGAAACATTGATTTAAAGTGTCAGTTATTGCATTATTATTTCAGTCAAACCTATAAAACCCCTTTGTTAACCCAAA